AACTATAGATTTTGAAAAACAGATAGATAATAATATATGTAAAATAGCAGTTTAAAAAAATACTTGGCCAAAAGTTAGCTGCTTATTAGAAAATATGGCTCCCTAGCATAAAATGTATTTTTTTTTCTCAAATATCTTTGATTCTAATAAGCGGTCATGAAATAGATGTCTGCATCTGTTGTTAATAAATATTTTAAAAAAGCCAACATCTTTAACAGTTTGTATGGTCTTTTAACTCCGGTAAAATAGACAGATCTATTTGTCACCCAAGACCATCCGTACTTCTTCAAATATTTTCTCCATTCATTCAGATATATTCCCACATTCCAAATACTTACTTTATCATTTGTTCAAGTTTAAGTCTTTGTCCTTACCAACCAAAATACGTCTTGGATATACAATTATAACATTAATCTTGCTCGGTTTGTGGTTTTGAAAAATCCTTTATTTTCCCTCTCTCTTTAAACTAAAACTCAACCACCAAGGTGTAAAGTTGTCTTTCTTATTTTTTTTTTAAACATGAAATATCTCTTATTTCTTCAAGATGTCACACGTTCCAAATATAACTCAAATTTTGAAATGCTAAATGTCAATGAAATCATATCAAACAGCACTCGCATAAATTGCAGTCTTATCATTTTTTTCCATCCAAAAAGACCAGATATCATTTGAAATTCAAAACGTATTGATTACAAATCAAGGCGACATAGCTTATAATTTAAAACCTACAACTCTCCAAAAAAAATCACTTCTCTTGTGCTTTGATCTCCAAAATCAGCATGCATTCCAAGTCAATTATTTCATTTAATCAAATTCATTTTCATTAAATGTAGCGGTGTTTAGGAAGCAAATGTAAAACAGCTTGTAAAATGTACCTTTTTTGTCAAGTTTTGTGGCTGCAATGCAGTAAAAGAGAGATTTGCCAATGCTTGCTTTTTAGGCTAGCAGGGTAAAGCCATTCTGTTCAATTTGTGTTAGATGATCGTATGTTAAAATGGGGGCAAGTAAAGCCATTTTAACGCCTCATCCATTTCCAGGGATATAAAAGTTTATGCTGATATCACTGCTTACCTTATAAACTTGTGGGTGAACATCTCAGCATTGTTAAGCTGCACATTGGAAAATAATTACTAATTAGACCAGTCATGTGAAAGACAAAATTTACTTCTCTGTGTTGCTTTCAGAATAAATTATTGGGTAAAGAGAGAAGAACAGAGTTTTATTTTCACTCGTTGGGATTTAAAGGTGATTTATTTTATGGCTTTTTCAATTCTAGTCCAGAAAAGCGAAATAAAATATATTCTTTCAACCTAAACTTACCCTGCTTCTAATTAATCCACTGTGAAAAATTGCCCATTTATAAGACTCTTTGCAGGCTTTTTACATGAGAAGTCTGGTGTGAATAGGAAAAATGGTCCCCAAGTAATTGCGGCCGTATGGTTAATATTTTGGAGATGCTTTTCTAAAGGAATAACCTTCACTTTTGGCTTAGTAGAACTGTGTTTGTTTCAAACATCCATTCATGAGCAAAAGAAATTCTAATAATTTAGTTGTTCCTTTGCGCACAATTGGTTATTTGAATTAACAAATTCCCATTTGCAAGAAATCTGATCTACTTAGATTTAAAGCTGTCCAGGTCACAAGGCCCCAAGCAGCTGTCCTGGCAATAAGGCATGCAAACATGCACAATCATATAGACTTTGGGGTACTAAAGTCAAAAAGGCTGTTCATCATGCAGAGAACGTTGCACTTTGCTAGAGAATTTGCCCCAGACCTTAGTGAATATAGTAAAGTTTCACTTTGTAAAGATTAAATATAATAGTGGTGTAGCGCTGATAACTAAATGTGCAAACGCCACAATAATAAGATAAAAAAACATAAATCACATAAATGAATGAATATAAATATATAAGTGATAGGTCTTTCAAGATCTAGAAAAACAGTGTCTCAAACTGTGATATTAACAGTACACAAAGTGCATATGATGAAGCTGGTCCTACGCCCGGACCCTCATGCAGTGACAATACCCAGTCCCACTTGAGACCAAACCCCAAAAGACTAGGTGCTATATACAGTGGATCCCAAAATAAGGGATATGATCACAAATAAAGTGAATGATATATAAAGTGTATCCCAAAATTGGGATATATACCAAATAAAGTGACTAGTGAATAATGTTAAACTCAATATATAAACATAAACTTCATAAACGCACAAAACGATAAAAAGTGTCCAACAAATAGCCAAGAATAGCAAAGATGGCAATGACTGCCAAAATGTGCCTATATCTTCAAAACACGTGCTATAGTGCTGGTGCAGATGGTGATCATATATCCTTAGATGGCAGGCATGCCCCCTCACCTCCTTGCTGCCACCCAAAAGGGTCAACATGCCTCTTGGATCACTCTAGATCCTACAGGTACCAACTCTCCAGGTTGCTCTGATTCCAATGAACCTCACTGGTAACTTCCTTCCAATGTAAATCACTATTAAACGCAGATCAAAGAAGATTTGTCACACCACTCAGTATGGGTGTACTGTGTAAACCTGGTGTAGCAAGATGGCGCTCCGCCGGAAGTGCATCACCACGTCGCATCTACGCGTTGCGTCACATACAGGTGACTTCCTCAGGATTGGACACCAATTGGGACTGGGTATTGTCACTGTGTGAGGGTCCGGGCATAGGACATATGCACTTTGTGTACTGTTAATATCACAGTTTGAGACGCTGTTTTTCTAGATCTTGAAAGATCTATCACTTATATATTTATATTCATTCATTTATATGATTTATGTTTTTTATCTTATTATTGTGGAGTTTGCACAGTTAGTTATCAGCGCTACACCACTATCATACTTTATCACTTATATTTGTCCACTTATAGGTAGAGGATAGGGTGTTAGCAGCATATAGAAATTAGGCTCCATATTAGCGCAGGGGGATCAATGCCACCACTTTTAAAGTTATTGGCTTTGATTTACTAAAGGCAAATAGGCTATTCACTTTGCAAAGAAGGTTGTCCCAGAGCTTTGTGAATAAGGTGAAGCTCTGCTGACTTCCATCATCCAATCACTTGCAAGCAGAAAATACTGTTTTATTTTTTTTTTCCTTGCACATGGTTGGGTAATCTTTACAATGTGCTTACTGAGATGATACGTTGGTAGAGTCTCCAACATTGCAAATTTTAATAAAAATGTGTAAGGAGGAATATGTTACAAACGAAGTTTGGCAAAAATCTACCCTGTACCACTTAGAACAGGGTCTGGCTCTGGAAGTCTTGCCAATGTTCATTACTAGTTAGCTTGAAACAGACCTTTCCTCCCTTCCTCAGGCCTGAGTCAGTTGAGTTCATTCATTTAATAATATACTATACATTTGTGAATGGCCTTGCATTTATTTGGTCCTGCTTTAAAGTGATACTAAAGCTAAAAACTTTTTTTTACCTTAATGCATTCCTTGCATTAAGGTAAAAACATTTCATTTTCTATTCCTCTGTCTTCCTCCTACCTTGTGTGAAGGGGAAGAGAGGGGAGAATAGATCCAGTACTGTGCACAGCTGCATCTCTTCTCCCCTCTCTTCCTCTTCACACAGGGACTCGAACAGCAGCAGGAGCCATTGGCAGTGAGTGAGGAGTGAGGAGGAAGTGGAGGCGGGGCTAAATCCCACTGTGTGTGTCTATGTAGCAGGGCTCCATAGACATACAGCTCGGGAGTGAGCAGACACCGTGTGCTACCATAGCAGATGGCTTGCTTGGAGACTTCAGGAAGAAGAAGAGGAGCCAAGATCACCTCTGGGGCATGGAGTAGAGGAGGATCTGTTCTGCTCTGTGCAATACCACTGCACACAGTGCAGTGGTATTGCATTAAATGTTTGTTAATTTAAGTTTTTTTATTTTAATGACTTTAGTAACACTTTAAGTATAGGGGGCCAGTACTGTAGTGGTTAACAAGTTGATAGACCATTCTTTGAGTTTTAGTAGCCCCTATCAAGTAAATGTATAACATTAAGTTGAATGATCTGCTACTGACATAAGTTAATGTTGGTAACATATCATGGTCTTGAGCTTCAGTTGTTATAGCTGTGATGGGAAGCAACAAGAAGAATTAAGTTCAGGGCTTGGATCCAGTAAGACATAAAAGTAAGAGATCCAAGGGGAAATGGGAATATGTGAGTCAATAGGAAGGGAAGAAGGAAGCCAGCTTGAGGTTCCACAGAGTGATGGAAAAAGGCTGAAAACTAAGAGCTCTTTCATAAATAACTCTAGGATATATACAATATGCAGGTACTGTAGGTATACACCCCATATTTCCAGAAGTTGTCACCATCACATCTGTACTAAATGACCAAAATGATGTGGAAACCCCTCTCCATGATAACCCTTCACTAATATGGAAGGGTACTGTTAGTGCTAGGATATTCAAAGATATAGTAGACAATTGTGCACATGCAACCTTGTGGCAAGAGTCTAGGAAAGGCTCTATTCTGTTTCAGCATGACAGTGTTCTATAAAGAAATGGTTTGACAAGTTGCGATTGGAGTGGCCTGCAAAAAATCTTGGTTTTAATCCCACAAAATGTCTTTGGGAAAAATTGTAACACTGATTGTGAGGCAGGTCTTCTACTCCAACTCAGGTAGCTGAGCTCACAAATGCTCTTTTGGCTGAATAGGAACACATTTCCACAAACAAACTAGGAATTAGCAACTTGAGAGGTGGCATCTCCATGTCAATGGCCATTTTTTGTAATTGACTGGTCAGCAAGCTCATATACGTGTGATGGCAAGGTGTCCATCATTTTTTGGTCATAATAGTGTTGTTTATTTGTATAAATTAATTAGGCTTCTGCCATTTTCTCTTTTTAATCTCTTTAATAAAGGGCGAAAAGAGGACAAAAGGGAAATTTTCTGGCATTCAAGATCTCAGTTTATTTTTTGTTATATCTCCCCTTTGCTCCCAAGCTCTTATAGTTTAGGTAAGAGCAGGGGCGGACTGACAACTCATGGGGCCCCCAGGCAATAGGGGATCATGGGGCCCCTGTGTCCTTGCCCAAACTCAAAAAAGCCTATGAAAAAGGTACCAGGGGGCATCTCATGGGGCCCCCTACTGACCCTGGGCCCTTGAGCAGTGCCCGAGTTTCTGAATGGTCAGTCCGCCCCTAGGTAAGAGCCACAATTTACAGAAGTGCTTTGATGTGACAATGTAAACTGTAATGTAATATATCTGGCGGGCTAAAGATGTAGACGGACCCCTGTGGAATTAAAAAAAAAAGAAAGCTATTCTTCTGGAGAACAACATGCAAGCCAAAAGAAGCACAAAAGATACATGAATTATGATGTCACCGTGATTATTTACATACACACCAGAATTATAGGCAGGCAAAACAACCCCTATTTATTCCAATAATGTACTCATAAAAAAAAAAATAATTTAATTTGTTAAAGTATAACTAAAGGCAAAACTTTGTTTTTGTTCTGGATAAAGTGGAGAGGTATTGGAACACTTGTCAGTTTTTACTGCTGTCAGTGCCACTGTTAGGGAAATTCACCCTCTCTATTTGTCCTGTTTATCACTGAAATTGAAAGTAAAGAAAATCCCACATTTTGGGTTGCTCCTAGAAAAGTAATAGAGGGGAATCTTCCAATAGGGTCACTAGCTCTGGTGACTTGGGAGTCCCCAAGGGATTCCCTTAATTTACAGTGATTTCCTCTCACTTCTTGTTTGGCTATTGGACAGGAAGTGAAGGGAAATTTCCGGAACGTGCCCCAAATGGCAAAAAAAAAAGGTCTGACAAGGGTTATAACCATCCCTTGCTCTATTCAATATGAAAAATAAATATTTTTTCCTTTAGTTCTATTTTAAATATTTCTATTGTGAACCTCCAACCCTTGACTTTATTATTGCTTCCAGAAATGTGCTCTTGCTACTTTTGTAAATTCAGCAAGCTAGAGGACTTGTTAGTTATCCAGCCATATTTCATAACTAATCAATCAAAAAGCTCCTATACAGCCACAAAACACTACTTCCTCCCTAGGAAGTGAATAAACTATTAAATGTACTTTTTGTGATAAACTTCCCAATCAGCCCAATCTATCTCAAAAATTCAATAAACCAACATATTCCAAAAGGTGATGATCAAATCTAAACTAAAATAATAATAAATCCCTTCAGATGAAGTCCGGAAGTGACGAAAAACGCGTTAGAGGAGTGACGTCATTACGCACGCACGCTAACCGGTCACCCGGAAGTGTCGTTTTTTTCAACCAGAGACTGAAATGTGCAGTACAGAGAGCTGGATAAAGTGTTTTTACATGTAAGTGTGGAATAAATTTATATCTTTTTATGAAATCTGCCTGATTGAGCCTTCTCTTTGTCCATATGAGGAATACCCCGGGATAAGAGTGATGGAGGAATGCCTTTCCTATCTAACAGTATATGCCTGAATATACCATAAGAGGGTAATGGTATTTAGCATCTACTTTGGCTGGAGTATATAGGATATTGGTACCTAGTATCACTTTTCACTTGAGATTGGAGTGATCACGAGTTCTCACGTTTATTTTTATTTATTGATTTTTCACTATTTTTGGTGTGATTTGAGTTTTGCACAGTGTGAAGCATATATATATGTTTGAGGATATTACACTATGATATATTTTTCTTTTTACTTTTGAGGATAACAAGGCATTTTTGGAGAATCGTTTTGCTTCACTGAACACATAAAGAACGTTTTTGTTTTTCTTGGGATTTTTTGGACATTTATTTGTTTATATTACATACTTTTTTGGAGATTTGGACACTTATTATTATTATTATTATTTTTTTTTTGGCTATTGAGATTTGGACACTTTTATATATATTTTAATTTATTATATTTTATTTTATTTATGTTATTTTATCATTTATATTTGATGATTTTGGAATATATATTAGAGGGGTGGTTTATTATTATTTTAGTTTAGATTTGATCATCACCTTTTGGAATATGTTGGTTTATTGAATTTTTGAGATTCAGATTGGGCTGATTGGGAAGTTTATCACAAAAAGTACATATTTCATAACTGTATGTGAATAAAAATGAGCTCACTGACCTGGCCATGCTGTCTGGAAGGGATATGTAAGCCAGGGGGCTGACTGCTCTGAATTACAAATGTTATTGCAGTTAGGACACCTTACATACTTGTAGTTCAAATGTGTTTGAACAGTATAAAACAAAAAAAAGAGAGAAAAAAAATAAAAAGTTGAATTTATGCTATATTGCATTTTAACCCCCTTGTGATGAGCATACAGACATATGCAGGCTCACCAAATATGTACCTGTATTTGGGAATGTTCTGCCTGGGGTTACTGTGTTTGGCTATCACAATGATCAATACTTGTATAGCCCACCCCTTTACTCTTTCTCCTCTTGATTGAAGAAAAAAGGTACGTGAGATCTTCAAAAAGTTTCAGTACTTTTATATTTATTTTAGAAACGGTGAGGACAGGGAAAGTACTAATTGGTCTTGTCTGAGAGTGTCATGTGACGAGTCTGTCTGGCAAGTCAGCTGACCTTGCAGATTAGTATAAGAGTTATTAAGTTGTTTTTTTTTAATTTTTAATAGACTTTAAAAAAGTGCAGAAACTTTTTGAAGACTCCTCGTAGATTGCTTTTTTTTTTTAAAGCAGTAGTATGTAAACAAAAAAAGTGTGTAAAAAATTATGAAATAAATAAAATACAGCTAAAATAGCAAAATCAGGGTTTGATCTAGGTCAGGGTCAGGTTTAGGGTCAAAGGTCATGGTTAGGGTCAAAGTTCAAGGTCAATGTGTTTTAGGTAGGATGAAAAAAAAATGCTTTTTTAAGGGTCCGTGCACTTTAGGAGTAGAAAAAAGCATTAAAAAAGTGCTCCTAATGGCACATATTACACAAGAGTTTAGGAAAGTTTACGGGCATTTGCTTTTATAAGCATTTTTGCCAAAACATTGAAAATGCCAAATGCTCCTAAATGCCGCATTTATGTGATTTTATGAGCATTTAGTGTTTTTTCTGCCTGATGACTCCTCTAGAAAAAGGTACTTGGGGTGTATTTATTTTCCTACTTCTAAACTCTCCTTTTGAAATATGCCTCTAAACCTCCTAATGTGCATGGACGCACAGGATAATATTGAGCTGCTTCTACAGGTAAGAGAATTTTTTTTTTTTTTTTACTGTTTTGGGACAGTTTTCTGGTGAAAAAAAAAGAGAGATCTAATTCTATTTACCACCAAATGAAGGCCCAGTTTGTCTTAGTACAACAATTTCACCTAAATACTTTAAGTATCCTCAATAACGTACAATTTTGCTAAGACATGCCAAAGTTGCAAAACTGGTTTCAGCCATGAAGATCCGTTTTACCTTCTATAATGAAGGGGTTAAATAATTCTATGCCAAAACAAATTGGAAAGCCAAAAACAAAGCTTGCCATTTCTTACTTTCCCCATAGAAGATAATAGTGTCACGAATGATAAGATGATCCAATGACTTCAGTTATTTCCCTTTCCTGGAATAGATGTACAGATTTTGAACTCTGACTCCAATTTGATGTCACTTGCTGCATGCTTGTTTCTGGGGAAGAGAGAAAGTACAGTTTTCCTTCTTGCCTAAGTAACTTCTTTACCCAACCCAGTGCAATGGGATGGACATATCTCGCAAGAACCTAAAAAACCCTCCGGCACACATCTTCTTTCCTATGGCTGCATATTAACTGTTGATTCCTATGGACTTCAGTGGGGTTGAAGAATAAGGAGTAAGAATTCATTTGGGGCAGGAAAGCGGGTAATTTAGAGGGTGGTAGCAGTGTTATGAACCGTCAGTAAATTCACTGACAGTTTGTAAAAACCTGCGATTTTTACAGCTGTCCGTGAATGTCAATTACAAACAAGAAGTCTGCTAGGGCGGTACCAGGGAACACATGGGTCCATCTAACATCATTATACATCTCTGACATTCTTGAATGATTCTTCTGTTTCTCTACCTGAGGTTCCGCTGCTGCAGTCTGACCTCCTGGTTCCCACCCACCACTGCCAGCAATGGTGGTTGGTTGCTAGGGCCATCTGGTGTCTAGCAACCAACCAGATGGTTGGTCAGCCCCCAGCATTCAGTGTAGGGGAACGGAACTTCCTTCCCCAGACACCAGGACTACACTAGCCGTGCCGCATATACAAAAAACACTGTGATACTGAGCCCACTGAATGCTGTCCGCTAAGTCCCACCCGCTAAGTGCCTCTACTGAGTGTCGGGCCGGCTCCCATCCAGCACTTGGTAAGGGCAGACTAAAGGATTCCAATGTGGGGGACACTGATAGAGGCACCTCTAATGAGTGGTACAGTGATGGAGGGGCCTCTAATGAGGGGGACACTGATGGAGGGACCTCTAATGAAAAGGACAATGATGGAGGGACCTCTAATGAAAAGGACAATGATGGAGGGGCCTCTAATGAGGGGGACACTGATGGAGGGACCTCTAATGAAAAGGACAATGATGGAGGGACCTCTAATGAAAAGGACAATGATGGAGGGGCCTCTAATGAGGGGGACATTGATGGAGGGACCTCTAATGAGGGTGACACTGATGGAGGGACCTCTAATGAAAAGGACAATGATGGAGGGACCTCTAATGAGGGGGCAACTGATGCTGGGACCCTTTAATGAGGGGAGCAATGATGGAAGGACCTCTAATGAGGGGGGCAATGATGGAAGGAGCTCTAATGAGGGGAAACTGATGGATGGACCTCTAATGATGGGGGACAATGATGGAGGAACTTCTGATGAGGGGCACTGATGGAGGGACCTCTAATGATGGGGACAATGATGGAGGAACCTCTAATGAGGGGAGCACTGAAGCAGGGATATCTAATGAGGGGGACAATGGTGGAAGGATCTCTAATTATGGGGATGCTGCCAGCTTAAATATTCCTATTTTCAGTTTTGCACTGGAAAATGTCATTTTATGTACTTTTTTGAAGTGTCAGTTAAAATGTTGGCTCTTTCAGTAAATGTCATGATTTTGTCAGTAAAAATGGTGCTGTCAGTAAATTTGTGGAGTCCTGTCACTAA